TTACAGCAACAGAATGGACTAAGACAATGGGTCCAAGATAGAATGACAGCCAACGTCCATATGAGAAGGACTGGAGAGAGACAACAGCTTTCCTCATGTAAGAAGAAAAAAAGGAGACCCAAGAGAAGAGACCCAGTGTCCTCCCCTGTGGGCAGAGGAAGGATGGGGTCTGCTGCCTGGACCCCACTGCCACAAGCAGGCCGCTAGCCTCCCCTCCACCTGCAGCCCTGGGCAGCTTTGCCCTTCTGCCAAGGGGATGCCGGGGCAGGGAGCAGAGCAGTGGAAGCTGAGGCTCCCTGTGGGAAGCTCTTGATCTCCTGGAGGAAGAAGGACGCACAGGCAGCTGAAGAGAAAGGCCCAGGCATTTTAGCTCAATGGGAGCAGAAAAAAGGGAAAGAACACTGCCTCGCGTTGCTCAGAGGCGTCAGTCAGAGTTCTTGCGAAAGAAGCAGATGTGACTCAGGTACAAGTCACTGGAAGGGCTTTTGATGTAAAAGAAGCCTGATGTGAAGTTAAGAAGGAGGGAGGGAGTGGAGAGGTTGACACCAAAGAGACAGAAAGAAAGACCCCTAATTGTCTCTTCAGGCTCGACATTTGCTGAAGGAAAGTCAAGGTTTAAACGGAAGGTTTGACATTTCCTCACACTTCTTTGTCGTCATGAAGACACACGGTTTTGATGGGAATTTGGTCCTGGGTCTCTGTGGCTACTGAAGGAAGGTGTGGGGCAGGGAGCTCCCTGGGCAAGGCGCGGCATTTGACCATGGCCTGCACCCGCCATGCTACCTCAAATGCAGGTCCGGGGTGGCCAGAAGCAGAAGAGCCTGAAGAAGAAGCCAGGTCCACCCTCCTTGCTGGGGACCCTGGGTGACTTCCTTCCCTCTGTGAGCTTCAGCTTCCCGTTTGTCAAACAAAAGGAGTGGGATCCTCCGCCACCACTCACAAGGCCCCAGAAATCCTGCAAAGTGTCATGTGACAGACTGTCACTCAAGAGAGCAAGTGGAGGGGCTGGGGATGTGGCTCAAGCAGTAGCGCGTGCGGCCTGGGTTCGATCCTCAGCACACATACAAAAAAACAAAAGATGTTGTGTCCGCTGAAAACTAAAAAATAAATATTAAAAAATTCTCTCTCTCTCTCTCTCTTAAAAAAAAAAGAGAGAGAGAGCAAGTGGAAGTCTGCGTTGATCACCTCTGAGAACCCCTGCCCCGAGAGGAAGCAGGTCCCTGATGCAGCCCCCTGAGCAGGGCTGATCTACGCTGCACCAGTTGATCCTGGCCAGGGGTCCCAGGCCACTCTGCCTTCCAATCACAGCCCCAGCCCAAGCCCTCATCCCACCCAAGGACTACCAGAATTTCCACCTAGCTGAGTTAGAGGGTTGGGGGGCACATATGGCTCAGAGGTCTGAGGATTCTGGAGTTTTCTCTGAGGCTTCTCAGGGGCCCTGGCCCCTCAGAGCCAGAGGACTCTAAGAAGACCCAAGGAATGTGCGCCATACTGGAAACATGGGGCACTGGATTTCAATACCAACCCTCCCACTAGCTGGTGAGTCACCTTAGTTAAGATCCTTGGATTCTCAGGACTTCCGCTTCCTTTTCTATAAAGGCTGGACTTCTATTATATCCCAAGAGTCTTGGGTCGTCTTCATGGTGAGTGCATGAGTATCACCACTTTTCTGACATTTTTCCAGAGTTGGTTATCCACCAGTCTTTGTCTGGAGCAGTAGAAATCCTCAAGAAACAGCCAGGCCAAAGGATGTGGCTTGTGTCATTGGTGGGGTCCTGGGGAGCTGACTCTCACGCCCATTCCTTCACTTCCTGGTCAGGCCAAGCTCAACTCTACAGCAAAGTTTCCCCTGAGTACCTGGAAGAGGTGGCTCAAACAGGATGCTCTCAAAGACAGAGGGCATTTTCACATTGCCAACCCTTGGCGGGGACTCACAGGGTAAGAGGCGGCGGCAGCAGCCTCTGGCCCAGCCAGTGCGATGGCATCTGGGGCTCACACACCTGTGTACACTGGTACCAAAGGGTGCATATCTGTTCTCAGCTTGGCCATGGTGCAGGTCAGTCTTTTCTTCCCTGTATTAGTGATGGGCTCCTTCAGAATCCACACAAGTCTGACTCTTCTAGACTCAGCACAGCTTCCTTGCTTGTGGGCACAGGCTTGGGAGCTGAAGTACCTTGGTAAAAACCCAGTCTGCACTGACAAACTTGTGGCCATGTGCAGGGTACCTTACCTCTCTGGACCTTCATTTCATCATCCACAGAATGGGAATGAGAAAGCATGTCTACCTCAAAGGACTGCTATGGGATATTAGTGGGTTAGTTAACCTACGTAATCCTCTGAGGCTAGTCTTTGGCATGCAGTTTTGCTCCCCCAAAGTACTAACTAGCTTAGTTGGCACCACCAGTACCACCACTGTCTCCCATACTCCCTGAAGCACCCTAGGCTCTCAGAGCCACTAAAGTCCCTTGACATTTTCAGTTTCACTGCCCAACCTTCCCCTCCAAGCCAGCTCCTACTCATCCATCCAGGTAAAATGTCACCTTCTCTGTGCTGTCCCCAGAAACAGTTACCCTCACATCTGTACTCATCTGTCAATAAGATCTAAAGGCAGAGGTGTCTATGCAATGCATTCCCAGCATGTCTGACTCGTGGCAGGTACTTGACACACGGCGGTACTGGGATGATAGAGGAAGTAGCTGTCAGAGCCCAGGATGGCTCCTCAGAGTGGGCTTAACCAAAAAGGCAGACTAGCTCCATCCCAACCACCGTCCAATGTCCATGCAGACCCATCAGAAAAGCCTAGGCCTGAGGCATAGTGATGGAGCTATCAAGTCTCCGTCCATCCCCAGACCACTCTCCTGTAGGGCCCCTCCAACCCAACATGCCCAGTCAGAACTCCCACAACTTGTTGGTGCCCCCTCCAGAGAAACCTCTCATCTGCCCATTGTTTCACCTCCCTACACTCTGGATCCCCACAATCTCTAATTGTTTTTGTCTCCCCAGAGAAAATGGAAGATGCACAAAGGTGGATACCATGCCTGCCCATTCTCTGCTCATATGATGACACCCGGCTTAATATACCTGGTGGAAGGGCTGACCGCATCAGGCACCCAAAACATGCCAAGCAATGCACTGTGCAGGTCTGTGTGGGGCTCATGTAGCTATTACCCCCCACTTACAGATGAGGAAGCAGTCAGGAATGCACTTGCCCCACGGCAGAGCTGCACGGTGCCGGCACTCTGCCTGCCTTTCCCACGCACCAGGCTGCCTTCCAAGCCTGCCTTCCAAACCAGCGTAAATGTGATGTCAGATGCTATGCTCTCTTTAGTCTATTTTATCTTTATTTAAACTTTTAAGGTATTAGATTTAAGGAAGACAGCCCAGAAATGTCCAAACAGCTCCAGCATAATATCGTTATTATCATCATGATTATTTCACTTGAGTCTCCATTTGTGGGGAAACTGGATACAAATCCATCTTGCAGGCTGAATATTGTACTATTAACCCAGCCATCAGTGAGGACAAGAGGGTGGAGACCGGGCAATGGTGGGGGAGTTTGGCACGGGGCAAGACCAATGGCGAACTTGGAGAGTAAAGTGGCATTGGTAGCACCATTGGCCTTCCTAAACACCTACAGCACCAACAGTGTCGAGAAGTCAGCAGCCATCACAAGGCCCACCGTCAGCCAGAGATCTCACCAATAGAGGCTGCAGTCCACTCAGGAAGTACGTCCACAACAAAAGCACCACCACCACCAACAGGGAGCCAGACACTATAGGAGGCCTGCTGGGCTGATGGTGAGAGCCCAGGAGAACAGGCCATCGACCAGAGAGAGCCGGCCAGGGGGCGACCCCCACCCGCTGCTGCCTTGCTGAGCTGGGCATGCACATGCTCACGTGAGCCTCTGGAGCCAGGACCTCCGGGCTGAGTCTCTTCAGCAACCTGCTGCTTGAACACGAGAGAACCGACCACTCCCCAAGAAAGTCCTCCCATCGCTAGATGGAATGACTCTCACCTGCTTGCACTGACCTTCAGGACGACTCTCTTCCCCACGGCAACCCTTCCAACGTTGGAATTCAGGTCGCCCGAGTCTTCCCAGACCAAAGATCCCATCTCCTCCAACAAGCCATCATTTCTGGCCTCCTTTCATCCTAGATCCTGTTCTCTACTGAAGCTACTGTCCCCTGGCATACATTCTGAGGTGTGACAGTGGCACTTGGAGGCTGGGCTGGCCATTGGTTTTGTGGTGTGACTACAGAGCCTTGACCACCACAGTCTGACCTTGCAAAAGCTTCTCTGGCAGCCAAGGATGCCTTCGAAATTTCCTGCTGCTGCGGAAACCATGATGCCTGCTGCAGAACTTCTGAGGCTCCTTGAAGAACACGAGGCCCCAAGGGCCAGAGGGTTTGGGCAGGCGGGGCCATAGGCAGGTGTGTGGCTCTGCCACCTGCTGTAATTGGAGCATAGCCGCTTTAGCCTTGATTGACAAGTGGGACTCTAGGTAAGTGTGAAGCAAGAGCACCACTAATTACAGCGTCTGCAACCACGAGTGACCCCTGACATTCCACTCTGCCTTAGTCCTGTGCTCTCTCTAGGCCTGAGCTCCTGCATCCCACAGCACACCCGGGCTCAAGCCAGCGCCAGAGGGAAGGGGCCACCCTGCCTGGCTGGGAGACCTAGGGCTCTTGGCTCTGCTGGGGGCCTGACTGGCTTCTCCTGCCCCGGGGCACTCTGGAGACCCAGGTCTGCACTGCTCATTCAACAGTGTCTTGGGGAGGCCCAGAGCCCGCACACGGTAGTGGGGAAACCTCTGTGCTGTGTAGGCGACGCCAACATTGCCCAGGGCTCGGTGTCCTGAGGACCCAGAGCTGGGACTCCCAGCGCCCTCGGAGCTGCCAGGCCCTCCCAGAGCTCCCAGGAGGTGACCCCGCAGGAGTGGGGCGGGGCCTAGCGGTTCCGGGGCGTGGCCTGGGCGGGGCGTGGCCAGGGTGGGCACTCACAGGGCAGCGTCTCGGCGCTGTTCTTCTGGATCATTATGCAGAGCTGTAGCACCAGTTGGGGGGCGCTCTCCAGGAAGGTCTCCAGGAGGCGCAGCATGTTGACGTCTGCATATTCGTACATCATAGCCCAGTAGAAGCGTCGCTGGTGTTCCTTCTGCCGCTGGCTCTGAATCCCCAGGTACATGGTGCGGATATACCTGCAGGGAGACACAGGACAGAACACAGAGGCGTGGGTGGGGTGGGCGCTGCAGAAGGACCCGGGCCATCCCTGCCTGTGCCGGCCCCCACCCACCCACGTGGGCACACAAGGTCCCGGAGACTTGCTCGGGGCAGATCAGAAAAATCTGACATCTGGAGCCCTAGGCGAGTCCTTCCCATCCTGGCCTCTGTGCGCTCATCTGGAAAATGGGAGAGTGGGGCCAGATGATCTTCCAGGGCCTACCACTTAAGCATCTTAGTGAGCCCAGAACGCAGGTGGACTTCGTCGGGTTCAGGATCATAGGGAAGCATTCCAAGAGAGTTGACACTCTGCTGCACTCTAGAGAGGGTGGGAATTAGCCTTTGTGACATTCCACTAAGTGCCACTCACTGACTGGCCCTACCTAGGAGGTGAGTTGATATGGCAGATGGGAAAGTTGGAGCCCTGAAAGTTCATGCTCCCAAGCTGGAGGGCTAGTAAGAATGGCAAGTTACCCACCACAGCCCATATGTCCCCCTACATCAGGGAGCCCGCAAAGGAGCCTTCATCCCTGGTCAGTCACAGATCCACTGACCCCTCTGTCAGGATGACACCCAGGCTCCAAAGGGCAAAGGAAGCAGGTCCAGGTGGAGTGCTTGCAGGTCAGCCCTGCGTGCTGTGGGACCTTGAACCAGTCTTCTAACTCTACCCCTAACTCACCTTCTGTAACGAGGGAGCCTCATAGAGTGTGTGGCCCATTAGAGATGAGCAGGTGGGTACCCACCTTGGGTAAGCCTCACTTTTACCTGAACTTTCTGGAACTGTATCTGCAAGCCCCAGTCAGGCAAGAGGACAATTTAAGGTCCCATCAAAACCCACTAGTGGCCTCTGAGGCAGGGCCAGGGTCAGGGGTGTAGGCCTCAGAGGCCTGTCCAAAAGCATCAGGAAGTTCAGCTTTGTGGGTCCAGTTAGGATTAAGCAAGGAACTAGTGCCATAGCCAGTGGGAGAGAACCTGGCATCCCCAGGGAGATGTGGCCACACGCTCCGTGCATGTTCTGCCCACATTCCTGAGCCTCCCAGAGTGCCGTGCCAGTATCAGACCTGGAGCACATGGCCGGCACCCTGTGGAGGCCCAGCTGTCCTCAAGTATTTCCAAGTGCCCAGTTGGGGCTACAAGACGACCCTCCCTGTCCCCACCATCACCACCGGCCTTGTCTGCATTGTCGCTGGTCTGCACTGCCCTCTCCCGCCCATAACCGCCCCTCTTCCCGCAGCAGCCAAAGTGCTCCTTGAAGAGCCCACGTATGGCCCTCGCTCCTCTTCCGCTGACCCTCCACAGCTCCCCATGGTACTTGGAGTGATCCAGAGCTGTCCTCGTGGCCCAGCACACTGCCACCTCTCCAGCCTCACCTCTGTCCTTTCTCTAGGCCTCCCTCAAGGATACTCCAGGACATGTGCCCACTGACTCAGAGGTGTGACCCCCCCCCCAAAATGTGCTGGCCAAAAATAAAAAAGAAACAAAGTACTGGCCACGTGAGCCCCCCTCCCCCCAAACGTCTGGGACAGTGCTGTGGCATTCTCTCTGGACCCCTAAGGCCTTTGGGGGAGATTCTGGTGGCTATCCTGGAGAGACCCACCCGAGGACCCAGGACCCACACCTCATCTCGCTGGTTACACCCCTGGAGTGAGTGGATGCTGTTCTACTGAAAATTAAAGCAAGGTGCACCGCGGTGCCCTCCATTAGGAGGGACATGGGGAAGGTCCAGGCACACAGGGGTGCCGGCCTGTGGAGTCCCAGCATGCCTCTTGGGGCAGGTCTGCTCGGTGCCACTTAACAAGTGGGAAACTAAGGCTGGAGGGGAAGCCAACACAGAATTCTCGTTCTGTTCCAGGTGTTGTCACCTGCTGGCTGTGGCACTTCCCATGAGTGGTCCCTCTGTCTGGGCCCCTGCCTGTGAATTCATACCATCAGGGAGACGGGGGGAGGCCCAGGAAGGAGAGGGAGTCTGTGACACTTGATCTGTAAAGCTGCAGGGTCACCAAGGGGTGGCTGGAGGGGTCAGAGACACACACAGAGAAATAGAGAGAAACAGATGTGAGAGACAGAGGAGGAGAGGAAATTGAAGGAGGAAGGAGAGAGGACAGGGATGAAGGTTTGGGGCCTGAGGCCAGGCCTGCTGGGGAGATGCTGGGGACAATGGGGGCTGGGAGGCTATCATCGTCATTAGCTTTGGAGGGGATGGAGAGCCAGGCAAGAAGGGCAGAGGGGCCAGATGTGGTGGCAGCTTGGGAAGGCAGGGCAGCAGGGGACAAGGATTCACTGGCTAGGCACTGAGACAGGGCCTCAAACCCAGAGGCTCCGCAGCCACATGCAGAACAGTCAAGTGTCCGATGGAGCCCTGGTGCTCCATTGGTGTCACCAATCAGAACTGGTCCCTGATCCAAAATTCAGCTGTACCCATGTGCCATGGCCATAGACTCACACCAGGAGCCTGACCACAAGTGCACACTACCTTGGGGTACACTCTGACCACGCACTCTGTCTCCTACCTTTGCAAGTGGCCCAGCTGCTGAAGGAATGATCATGTGGCAGAACCAAGCCCATCCACCTGGCCCCCGATAACGCCAGCACTCAGGTTCCCTGGATCTGTCCTTACCAGAGAGCCGCTCTCCCTCCATCCTCAACCTCCCCCTGGCCACACGCCCTGCTGCCCCACAAGGTGGGGGAAAGGAACACAGTGAACAGAATGTGCTGATTGGCCTGGAAGACCTGCCAGGAGAAGCCGGGCTCTCCCCCGTGAGAGCACCCAGGTGTGGGAGAAGCCAGCGGGAGGGCAAAGCCAGAATTGCACCCTGAGCTGGTTTCAAACAGATGCCAGGCACAGAGGACGCCACAATCACACCGGAATCAAGTTTGGCAGTGCCACCCCCTGCAGTACAGCAGCCTGCACCCAGGGGAGCACCAAGTTGGAGTCAGCTCAGGAACCCTCAGGGCAGGTGCCTGCACCCCCTCCCCTGCACTCTGCTCTTCCGTCCTTCAGTCCTTGGTCCCCAGCAGACAACGGGGAGTGCTGGACACTCTCTGGAACTAGGTCTGATCACTAACCCATTGCCACCTCCACTTTGCAGGTGGGACCCCCCCATGCCAGAGAGTATCAGCCCCTGTCTCAGTCACTTGAGGACCATGGGGAAGAGCCAAGGGTCTCTGACTCCCTGGCCTTGGTGGTCCCTGCAGAGCACACGTGAAGCTCCCGCGCCTCGTGTCCTAACAGCTGCCCTCCAAGGGGCTGGGATTCCTCCTCCTCTGAACTCCCCCAAGGCCAGCTTCCCTCGTGGTCTAAAGAGCTTCCAGGAAACAAGCAGCCTGGAGGCTGGGGACACTGCACCTCTCCTCTGAGCCCCTGTGCCTGTCCTCTCTGCTCCCTCCATCCCATTTCCCACCAGTAAACTCAGTGCTAGTCTGGGAGACCTGAGGCTGCCCTCCTGCAGCTGCCTCTTGCTGGGCCTCCAACTCCTGTGCAGACAGATTTGGCCCGTGGCCACACGGTGGCGCCAGACACTAAGCATCGCAGAAAGGATGCTCCACACGGGTGACCTCATACCTAAAGGCCCGCGTCTCCTCTGCGACAGAGCAGGGTGCAGGGCCCGTGGGTGAGGCTACAGCCCAGAAGTGCTGGGTCCCCAGGGGAAAGCCCAGAGCCCGCAGGAGGAACACTGGCTGCCACACCTCCAAACTCCCTGTTGTCCCCTTCCCTGGCATGTTCCAGAATGCTCACCTCCCCCAGGTGGGAAGCTCAGGAGAGAGAACACCCAGCCTTCCTCCTGCATTTGCCCCCACCTCTTATTGCCCTCCTGTCACACCACCTCTCCCCCAGAAGCTCTGGATCATGAGGTGCTGGTGGAAATGCAGATGGGCCATGGGCGGGACGGGGCTGCGGCCTGCAGGACTGTGTGACCTTGAGCAAGTCACTTCCTGAGGTTGGGGCAGGCTGGAGGCTCTCTGAGCTTCCCAACATCTCACAGCTTCCTCCTTCAAGTGACGGCTTCCCAGAACCCAAAATACAGTCCACACCTTCACAAATAATAGCACCTGGTGTCTGCACACCTCTCCTGAGCTGGGCACTATTCTGAGCGTTTTGCATGAATGAGTCGATGTGAATGGATTAATGGCGCAGACCCGATTCCTGCAGCGCTCCATGAGGAGGTACAACGCTCACCTCAGCTCAGTGAACTGAAGCACCAGGTGAGATGCACTCCTCAACTTACCAGCCTTGTGAGTGGCCAACCAGCGCTTCATGCCCAGCGGTCTGGCTTCAAGGCCAGTGGCCCTGCCTCCAGCCCACACACCCCTCAGGTTGACCCGTCTGGCTCTTGCCTTCTGAACTTTGTCCAACCTACAACCCTCATGACAGAGGAGCAGAGTCTGCCCCAAACACAGGGCTCCCTTCCTGTTCTGCCACATGCTGTCATCTTGGGGGAACATCAACAAGCCCTAATTTTCCTCGTCTGTGAAACACCTCGTCCAGACCAAGGCTCAGGACATGTTGGACAACTGGGCACATGCCGTCTTGAGCCCTCAGAGGTCCACATGCCTGTGGGGGACAGGTGGGGACAGAGGTCGCTGTGCAGGTGGCAGCACATCCTGCTCCCTGCTCTCCTCTTGTCTCCTCCTCCGCCCGCTCTGCCCATTTCCTCCCCTAACTTTATAAGCTGTGGAACTGTCTGAAGCTCCTTAATCCTGCCTCGAGGGGTACTCTCTCGTTCCCCAAGCACATTTTCATTTTTACATCAGCACTTATCTTTTTTCTGGTGGCTCATCTAAGGCTCAGAGAGCTGAGTGATATCCTGAAGGTCACACAGCCAGTCCTGGTTCAGGCAAATCAGAGGCCTTTCCTAGACTGTGTTGCTCCACTGGGAGTTAGCTAGGGTCTGCCGCAGACTGACCAGGATGGAAGATAAGTGATTTCTACCAGGCTCGGGAGGCTAAAGAGTTTCACCTATCTGTACCCACAGTCCCT